CCCTGTTCTATATATAATTTTTAACTTGGTGTTCAGCTTGCTTACATGTTTAGGTTTGTTATGTTGAGCAATATTGAAGGTTCATGCCAAAGAGAGGCAGAAACATATCTCAGAAGAGTGTTGTATTGGTGAAGATTGTAACTGTCTTGTTTTAGTTTCTGTGTATAAAACAAGACGCACATGTTTTTGGACGTGCTGTGTGATGACACACGTGCTGGTTGGCGCACTTGCACAGTTCATTTAGTATTATGTAACATGACAGGTACTGAGGTATAGGTGCACTAAGAAGAAATGTACACGGCACATAAAGAAAAGGGTGCGCTTAGTGTTTGAATTTTTATTGAGCACTGGTTGATGTTGAAAGAAGAAACATTGGAACCCTGTTTTAATTTGCCTCAAACCCAATTTAACCTGAGCTATTAGGTCCCTGTAGGATAATGTCCAAATTCTAATGGTAGTGTCACCTCTTGGATGTGTGGGGAGGGGGGAAGTTACAATTCTATATCTTGACTTGGGGTGGGGAGAAAGTTACTGTATGGGTGAACACAATGTAACCTTACTGGGGTGGGGGAAAGGGATGGTTATGTTTACTGAAGAGGGTGAGGTGGTCTTCGGTGTCGTCAGGCTCCACGTGGCTGCTGTAAACCCGCATTATTTTTCAACACACAAGCCACACCATATATGCGAAAAGTTTGCAGGCAACTAGGGCAGGCACTGGCACAACAGTCAGGAAGCACCGGGGAGCATAGAGCAAACTTATGTAGCCTATTTTACACCCGAGGTTATTCACCGATAAAGATGTTACTGCAGAATAGACGCAGCAGTCAGGTAGTAAGTTAGTAAGTAGTAAATGGTGATAGTGGTAGTAATAGTTGGAACATCTCAGTACTCATTGGGATTCTGTTTAATGTGTTAAGGTAAAGAAGTAAAGGCTTGCACAGGGTTGCATGGTGTGTGTTTCTTTTTAACCCTTACCCTCCTAGGCAACCACCCAATAGTAAACATGATGGTTTGTTAAGTTTGGGTCATATGGCCGTATACTGTACTACAAGATGGTTTTAAACATCACTCAAGTACTCGGGTAAACCACCAGGTCTCGTTAACGTTGTTGTTGTTTTGTGTGTGAGGAATATTGAGTGATGGATGAAGAGGTTAAGGGGGATGGGGTGGCAGATGGTAGGGAGGAGATAGGGTAGGGGGCTCGAAAACGGTTTGAGAGTGACCCGAAAGCAACCTGGACATCAGCTGACACTGGCCCGATAAGAAATTTTTTACCTCCGTGTTTCTCTTCTTAATTTTTGGGGGGTTGTTGGTGCAGGTGTGTGGTGCATTGCGTTGGAATGACAGGTGCGAGAGGAGCTGAGCCAGTCACAAGAATAAGGTTTTGTTAGGACGACGAGGGTTGTGCAACCTGTTCAAATGTTCTACCACCTTCTTCTTTCAAAGTTGGCCACTGGAGCCAGGGAGAGGAGGGAAGGGGTTGGCTGGATTAACTATGTCATAGAAATGAGCTATCAAGTTTTGTCCTTATTGCTGTGAATTCCTTTTTGTTTTGTTTTTTCTCAAATGGTTAAAACCATTGTGGATACCAATGACTCCTTGGCATTTTGATGAAAAGTAAACTATTTTCTTGGCGGTGTGATTCTTAGGTATTGTACATTAATTGAATCCTTTTTTTTGAGTTGTAAAGCAGTGTGTGTGTGTGTGTGTGCTCACGCACAGCAAGTGGGCAGGCAGGCACGAGCTGGGGGGGCGGTGAGGATAAAAGGGTAGTGTGTGGTGGGGCAACGAAACAGTGAGGCAGTGTTAGTCGGTGTGTGATTGGCCAGGTAGCCAGGTGGTGTGTTGAGGCACCCTGAGCCAGATGCGTCTCGCCAGTGGTGTTGATCTCCACGCATGTGAACACTGATGTAAACATGAATGCTGCTGCATTCTTAGTGGTGTATGCATCTTAATTGTAGATATTAGTGTAAACAGCGCTTGTCACATCCCCAGCAGGTGATGGTGATATTAAACATAAATTTAGCTCCATTCTTATTCTCTACAGTAATGAATCTTGACATAAACACAAACTTGTTCCTAAATTTATTGCTTATTTAAATATTTAATGAAAAGTACATTCGGCCATTAATTCACCTTTTCTTCGAAGCTTGGAAAAGATTGTGGTGGACAGAAAGATAGCATCATGCTGAGGATAAACTGGTGAACAGGAAGTTAGCAGTGCTGAGAAGAGATATGGTGGTGGACAGAAAGTTAATGAGGAAGTAAGAAAATTCTGTGGTGAGCGTGGTATGTGGTGCTGAGACAGTACTGTATTGGTGAACTGAAAATTGTTGATACTGAGAGAATAATAGTGGTAGAAATAAAAGTCATAATGTGTGAGTTAGTATTTCAGAGAACCAGGTCCTTAAAGGTCCATGTTGCACCTTACCTGAAGAGTGCATTCTGATGGTTCTTAAGGCAGCCACTGTGAGGACAATATTGTATCAATGAGGAAGGTGTTGGTCTGGAGGTGGCCTTGACTGGGGGTCGATGGCTTTACCAATTGATCTGGTGACATTAGAGGCAGGCGCCTGTGTTCTTTTATTTACATGGGTCAGACACGCTCTCTCGGGTGATCCTTCATCTCCCAGTGATGCTGCTGGGAACGTGAGGTGTGCTCGTTAAAGTGTGGTGGACTGTTATTGGTATGGTGTGTGGACAATGAGATATTCATGTTGGGTCAGAGATAATGAAGATGGTGTTCTGATGGTAGGGTGGTGGTGTGTCCCTCTGTGAATGTTTTGTGTGGTGACTGGTGAATACCACTGGTTTTACCATCGGTAGCTGTCTTATAGCAGCTTTGTGGGAGTGATAACTCAAATTTAAATGTCACATTTGATGCTACCAAAAATCAATTAATCACTGGAAGTTATAAAAATGTGGTTGGTGGTAACGATTAAAGGGCTTCGTGTTAATGTGAAAACTAAGCATGATCATCTGATCCTCCCATTATAGTTGAAAAAAACAAAAACACATTTGTTTCAGTGTTGTTGTTCCAGGTATGCTTGTGGTAGTGTTGACATTGTATCATACAGTACTTGGTAGTTGGAAGGCAGAGAAGTGGTTGGTTGTGAGATGGAGTAGTGAAGGTGTGTAGCGTGGTAACCTCCTCCCGATGTTGGGGCTCGTGTGGCTTAGAACCCAATTTGGATTACTAGTTACCTTTTTCGTTTGTGAAACTTGTTAATATTAACCTTGTTTTTTTACCCTCGGCAGTACAGAAAATTGTGATGATGTGATGTTGTATTGACTTGAAGTGCTCTGTGAACTCTTTTAAACACAATTAGTTTGTATATATATATATACTGTATATAGAGAGTGATGTTTATATACACACTGTACATATATAGTGATAAGACAAAACTAAAGATGTGGAACTAGTAATAATGTGAGCCTTGCTGAACAAGACAAGACTGAGGACTCAAGCAAGAAAATGACTCTTGAGTACACAAACTACTGTAACAGTAGAATAATGTAAACACAAGGTCTTCATTGAACCTCGAGTACAATTTATTATGTGATAGATAAATGTAAAATATATACCTAAGTAATACATATACTGTACTGTTGACATTCTTCAATATAAACTTTAGACGTTTTGATTTCATAAAGACCTTGCCCAGTGAATTAGTGAGGACAAGTGTTTTCGTGTTTACCATAACAATGTTGAGCGACTTTAAGCAGCATGTGGTGATGGAGGTGATCAACAAGAGCAGGTAAGCTGGAGGACGGGGCTGGTGGACGACTGGGTGACCTCATTAACAAAAATAGTGTGTGTATGTAAAATATTTTAATTTGGGAGAGCAGGATTGTTGTTTATATGTAAGGTCCATTCTCTAGACATCAGCTATTAAAATTAAGGGAAGTAATGTGATGGTGAGTTATGAGTTGAAGGAAGGCTCGGTGGAAGAAAACTCGTAATTGGGGTTTTACGGTGTTTTGTGTACAGTACTGTATTAACACTTGCATAACTTCTTGTGATAATTTGTTAGTACCTCATGTGGAAACCCTATGCTGTTATTGCTATTGTGAAAATTTTCGGTCATTGGGGAAGAATGCAAGTACGTTTTTAAGAGTTACCTAATATACAATATGGCAGGGAATCGTTTGGCGAGCATCGGGGTAGTTGTACATGGCTTACTCAGCAGCTGGCCTCACCAACGCATGATTGTGGCTGCGCCAAGTGCTGTGCCAGTCCTCACTGGATCTGGGCTTTAAACATAGCAACCCACACCGTCTTGAGGTGGTTAGCTAGTACTGTATGTACCCCTTCCCATCTGTGGTTTGACCTGCCTGATCTTGATAATCTTATTTTCTTTAGGTCTTAGTACAGTACCTACTGTACTGTATCACGGGAAGAGGGCGATGACGAATCTTCAAAATTCTTGCGTGTACACGGAATTCTCAAAACATTTTTTATTTCTTAATCTACTAATGATATATGAGGATCAGTTGGAGATGGAGTTTAGGGTTGTATTTGTTGACTGTCTGTCAAATCTTCTTTTAAAGTGATTAACACTGATGTCTGGCATGTAACCGTCATCTGCCAGGGAAAATACCTGTAGCTTGAGCTGCCAGCCACACCCAGGTCGAGGTGTGGCTGTTCTTATGAATGATCTTGTTTTTGTATGTTCACATATTCTAATATGGCCGTTATAATTATTTTATTATACAAACTTGTATTCATTACCTCATGTAATTTAATGTAAATCTATTATTCAAGCTGGAACTTGATAAAGGTGTGCATGCACTACCTCTCATACTAGTAATTATTTTGTATTGTATGAAGTGTGTGTGTGTGTGCATTTATGGTTGAGTTTTCCTCATGTTCGTGCTTTTATCTGCACCTTATGTGTTTATCACTGATGTGTTTTGCATTGGTATTTTCTCATCACTGGCCTGTTGTGCACTTTAAAGTCCATCAATTGTGTGCTGTGCACTTGTCCCATCAATGGTATATGGTGTGTCCCTCGGGTGCTGTGCACTTGGTGTTTGCCCATCCCCAGTGTGCTTTTCAGCCCCAAATTTTTGGAGGTTGGATGTGTGAGGTCAATTCAGAGGGTAAAAATAAATGGTGGTAGGGTATACATTTTCTCCAAACTCATATTTCTAAGTTTTACCTGGTTTTCTGTCCACTTTTTGTATCGAGTACTGTTGGGTATAACAATACAAGTACAGATATTATTGTTTGGTTTTTACTTGAGTATATGCTTTACTTGTATCATAATTTAGTACTGTAATTTTTTTTCCTCCTTTTTTCAGTACGGACTCCAGTAGTATGAGTGGAGGAATGCGCCATTTCTCAGTTCACCTGGGCGCAGGGCCTCGGTGGTGGGTTTGATGCTCCCCATGCCGCCTACGTGTCTACTAGTGCAGAGGGCAGCGGCGTGGGGAAACCTTCAGAGCCCCCTGTGGCCGGCACTCGTTCTAAACCTGTGTCGGTAAGTATTAAAGGTTTGCTCATTATATCGCGTTCTTAAAGCAAAGGAGACAATCCCCTTCCCTCCATACTCAGTACAGTACAAGTTAATGTTGCTTTTCCAGAAAGTCTGCCCTGCATATCATGGTCAGGTTCCTAAGGTGCCTTTACACATCTATGAAAACCTCTACTCTGGGTATAAAAGCACCCATCGCTTTTGCAGGCTATGATTTTATTGATATACAGTGGTCCCTCGATTAACGAACGGTCCAATTAATGAAACTATTGTTAATGAATTAGCTCCCTCCCATAAGGATTTTCAATTCCATTAACGAACAAAACTTTGATTAACGAAAGCCTTACGAGAAATACTCTTTGTTGTGCGCATCACCCTATCGGCTAGTCCGCCAATACAGTAATTGGTTCTATGTTTACATTTGTTTCCGGTGCAGTAAATATCAAGAAAATTGTGCTCTTGAATATTGATATTGATACTATATACAGTACATGGAACAGTTTTTGTGTGCCAATCAGCTGATCGAATCACCCACCAACGCTTCTCAGTTTAACTTTGTTTACAGTGGAGTGAACATCCAGTTTGTTGGTCTTTTGAATATTTTGCCTTTTTACATTAAAATTATTGGTCATTCTGAAATTTAGTTCACATATTGATAATATACAGTGCAGAAATTATTATGAAACATGAAGATGGCATTAGAACCAATGCACTCTGTAAAGAATATGGCATGTCATCACCGATTGCCTCTACAATCAGCCGTTTGATATGTAAACAAAGCTGCTGGGAATACGACATACACACCTCAAAGTACCTGGTAAGTTAAATATAGTATTCTATTGTTTTTTATTTATTATTATACATTACTGTACAGGTGCTCCTCTACTTAAGAATGTTCAACTTACAAACATTCAAAGATACAAACATCATCACTGAGGGCGGTTACATGCCAGAACAGGTGTTTAATATGGATGAGACTGGATTATTTTATAGAAAATTCCAAATAGAACAAACATTACCTAAGGGGAGGAGTGAGCCAGGTTTTAAGGCTGTATTAAAGGGTATAGCTGTACTAAATATCCATAATATTTTCATTTTTTACAATTTGTTTGGTATCTACAAGAGTAAAGTTGGACGTACAAACAAGCCTCAGGAACGTAAATCGTTCATAAGTAGAGGAACACCTGTATTTAATTTATATTTAATGTTTTGTTAATTCTATTACTGGTACTATACAGTACTTTGTATGTATTTTTTCTGTGAGTTGGAACCAATTACCCAATATCCCATTGAAATAATAGATTCAGTTAACGAAATTTTCGGTTAACAAACGACTCTGTGGAACCAATTGTGTTCGTTAATCGAGGGACCACTGTACTGTATTAAGTTCAGCCATTTTCCATCTTTTTTTCATACGTATTTCACTAATTTTTCCTTTTTGTGTTTTGTTTTGCAGTGCCTCATTAAGTGTAGAGTAATTGAGTAACAAGGAAAATTCTGTCAGATTAATGAAGATTTTATTCACAACAGTAAAAGAAACCCCTTGAATTCAATTTTAGATGACATTATATTTATAAATGTCTGTATTATAGTACACTATAAGTGCTGTGATGCCACCCTTGCATGGTACTTACAAGGCGGCAAATGTGAAGACTACACAGGACATATAAGGGGCTCTGAGTGAGAAGTAGACAAGTTAAAAATTTTTTTTTAAACATATTGAAGAAAATATGGCTATTAAATTTGCCTTTCTTTTATAGTCATAATTTAAGAAGTCATAAGCTAAAGTAAAAAAACCAAAAACCTGTATTAGTTCATGAGTAATACAGTACTCGTGCCGAGGGCATTGGAAAGACCATTCATATGCATAGTATAAGCCCCTCCCACACTAGATGTAGCTCTTCACACAAGCAACCTCTGTGGACAACCTTGCCAATCTCATATCAGGCTGCTGAGTCAACTTAGACCTCACAAAGATGACTACAGTACAGTATTAAAAATCCCAATCTTATTTTCATTGCTAGTTGATTATAATATACTTAGTATTCGATACAGTTGCAGCAGTGACATGGAATTCATGAAACTAAATTAGTTTAATACTATGCTGTTACCTGTCCATTGGTCTAAAACATTCAAATTACCTAAAGCCCTTAACCTTTTTCATTACAGTCGAGCAGGAGGATCAGATCCTTTGAATGAAACAAATATTCGTTTTTTTTTTCAGCTATACCTATTAAGAATACTGTGTATTATGTGGTGAGTAGGTGGTATCTCTTCATGGTCAACATAATTGTAATTCAGTACATCAGGCAGCAAGCCTGTCATTGTCTCTTGCTGATTTGCTAGAACCTATTGCAGCCAGATGTACAATAATTATAGAGCCATCACTGAAATCCCACAGTCTGCTCAACAAATTACTTGCTGTTCAAATCCAATTGAGTCCTTTAATACATTGCATTTTTATTACATACTGTACTCTAAGTACAGTATCCATGCTTGGATGTACAGTATTCTTTATAATGTAGTACAATATTCATGCACTAGTGTCATTATTATACGAAGGTGGCAGGCCTGATTAAATCTTTCAGTGTTTACACACGTCTCGATGATGGCGGGTTATTGGGTAAGGTACTCCCAAGAACTATTTCTGGTGAGACAGTGTCCTCATTTGCTAAAGCTGAAATGTGAAAGGGGGGGGGAGCTTATCCAGGTAACAAATGGTTAGAAATTGAGGCTGAGAGTAGACTAGTCAGTACAGTACAGTATTTCTGGATCTGGTCACAAAAGGAATATGTAATGTTTTTTCATATTCAAGGAAAGGTATTAATCAAAATTGGACTGCATTTCTTGTTACAAATAAATATTAAGGTATTTTAAGCCATATGACATAGCTAACATTATACAGGGGGTACAGATAAGACTTAATTGGATTGAAACTAAAAAAAAAATCACTGGAATGTCTTCTAAATTTAAGGAATACCTTCTAATAAACTAACTTTATAAAAACTAAATTTTTCAGGGTACTGAAGTGGTGTCTGCAGCTCAGAACGGTTGTGTCCGATTGAGTTTTAAATTTCAACTGGCCGAACAGACTACGGTGCTATGGGAGACAGTCGTAGTTGGCCGCCGTCTCTACCTGTCCATCGTACATCTACCAGAGGGCAGTAAAGAGGCATTTGTGTCTCTCCTTGAGTACGCTGAGGAAGTCCTCGGTTGCTCACATGTGCTAATATGTTTCAAGAAGGATCGTAGTGATCGAGGTATGAATGCTAGCGCAAGATTTGTTTTCAGTTATATGATGCTTTTGTGTTGAGTGGTATACGTACTGTATTAACTATAGTGCGTAACAAATTAAAGGAAATTAATTTATCTAGAACTCTTAAATAATTTTTGAAAAATGAATACCTGTATTTATAGAACAATTGTGATACTTGAAGGTTTTTACATTATCCATGCCTTCAGAATTTTTCATTATACAGTATGTACATTACTGTAATAAGCATAAATAAAAGTACAGTATAGTCTGGATTTACGCGGTTTTTGTTTACGTGTTTGGTCATTTACGCGGCACCTTGCCTGAATGAAATGTTTTAATTACGCGGTAAATTTCATCATTTACGCGGGAAGTGGCGCGGGCAAGGTGCGCACAAGGTCACCCAATAATCAAAACATTACTGAGTTCTTCACCCACCACAGCCTGCCCAAGTCAGTGATAGTTTGGATATGGACTTTGAGGGGTTTGACAGAGAGGCCCTGCAAGCCTCTGTGGTGGATAGTGATACAGGTGAGGGCCAATAATTTGCCCTCTGCCTCGGAACCAACCCCCATCCCCGTGTGCCCAGCCATCTTTTCTATTAACGTAAGTGTTAAAAAACCTAATATTATTGATATTTCTCTTAAATATTAATTGTGTGTGCATACCATCATAAAATTAAGAAGTTATTTTTACTACAACGTACGTATTGTCGGAAAAAGTGGAGTTTGGGGGTCGGCCCAGTCTCTATTTCAATTAATCCCATATGTTCTGTTATTTCGTTAATGCGTTTCTCGTTTTACGCGGACCTCCACGGGTTCAATTGACCGCGTAAATGCAGACTATACTGTATGAAATAAACAAACGTGCTACTTCCACAAATACATGTGCTTTGAGAATGTAACCCCTGTGATTGGTGAGGGATACAAAGTATAACTGTAAAGTACTGTACAGTGAAAGTCAGACAGATTGGATTGCGTATGTAGCAAACAAAAATGAGCACCTTACTCAAAAGTGAAGTACATATTCCACCAATAAAAAAAAAATAATAGTTACTTCTGTACTTTATTCCTTTTTTTAGGTGCTTCATTACTCTTCATATTACAGTATTCAGAATTTCTTGTCTTTGGTTTCCCCAGTTCTTTGAGAATTGATTATCCATGGGCATTCATGATTGCAAAGTAGGACTGCCAAAGGTGGTTGTCATAGACTTGGGAGCATCAGTCAGCTGGTACTTTGTAAGCTAGGGGATTGGCTGACAGCAGTTTAATCCAATACTGTACATCAAGCTTAGGTCTATATGAATTTTCATTGCTCCTCACTCACATCAGTCACCTTATATTTCCCCTGATAGGTGTTTGCAAAATATTTTGTTTGGTGCTTAACCACAAGAACCTATAAGTAGTTTACTGATTAATCAGTTTCTGTAATGTAAGCATAAGATAATGCAATATCTTCAATATCTTCAGACAACTTGTATTATAAGAAATCCAAAACATACTCAAAAGGTCAGTCATTGTTTTGTACTGTATAGTTATTCTTGAATAAGTTGGTATTAGGGGAATATTCTGTGATGAATTACCGATTTTTACAACTATCTTGTCATTTTATTTATTTATTTTTTAATTGCTGTCTTTATATTATTTTTTCTTGATATTAAGCACAATAATTGTTTCTTTGTTTCCATAGCTATGCTGATCCGCAACTTCATGTTCCTCGGGTTTGTGGCTATCCCACCAGGCCACCCAATGGCACCTGCCAACAATGATCACTTCTACATGCTCTATGAGATCGAGTAGTATCTTCACAGGTTGATGGTTCTGTATTATGCTTGGGCTGAACCAGGTTACATGTAGTTAGTAAGAAAATCTATTCATCAATATATTTTTCTTTCATCTTGAAAATGTAATGCATTTAAAAATTAAGCTTGTGTAACCTGGTTACCCAAAGTATTGTGGAGTTTCCCCAAGTTGTCTTTTGTTGTTGTGGAGTGGGGTAGAAATAACTCTGTGGCAGATGCGGGAGGGAAAGTGAGTGCCTGCCTGGTTATTTCACCAGTTTAATGAGCCTTGTACAGTGTTGTTACCAAGATTGAAATTGTATCCAATGCAACACTTGCAGATAATCTGTATTAATGGTATCAAAGGCTCAGTCAGTCATAATATTGATTAGATTTTAATTTTTGCCATGTATATTTTGATTTTTTTGTATGGTGATGTTTTTTGTGTAATGTTAACATAACCTGTGGACCAAAGATAATTCTTCCTTGTAACAATTTATTGATATATTTTGATATGTATAATCTGAGAAAATGACCCAAATAGTTAACTAAGGCTTGTTTTAGCATCCATTATTGCAAATACAGTGAGCATTGTTGATCCATGACTAAGCTTTGCGGATGTCAGGTACAGTACTGATGTGGCATTATGCTATTTGCTCCTGGATCGAGTCTTTTCTGTCAAGCTCCACAGCGACCTCTGGCTTCTGCTGCTAGTAAGACACGTATATCAAAAAAACAAAATGTACAAAAAAAAGTGGAAAATAATAAAATGATGAAAAAAAAAGGTTGATATTCATTCCATGTATGTTTTTTGAATCCTTGTAGAATCCCAGTTTGCTATATTCATTTTATCATGGTTTTATCATTCTGGTGGGATTATAGACTTGCAACTTAACATGGACACTGATAGTCATTCACCAATTCAGTCATTATGGTTTTGTACAACTAAGATTTCCTTTCATTGTACTGGGAGAAATAATCGGTGGTTCCTTTGTTCTTGTATTCAATAAATCACACAAATATAAATGATTTTTTTTTCTCCTGTTACATGAAGTGAATTCTTTAGCATATAGGAAGGCTGTCTCAATTTAGTTATTTCTGTTATTTTATGTTTAGCTTTACTGGAGGAATAAGATATAAAGATTCTAAAGGATGACATATCTACTTGGTGTATGCTATGCTATATGAATAAGCTGTTTATGGACAATCGCTGGCATATACCATGATTCCAAGTTTCTGTAGATTTCATTATCAAAATTTTCCTTGCTCTTATAATTATAAACTAAAGTCATTCTGCATCCTCATCCTCCACTCTCGGTCTTTCCACTTAAACATACCACTTCTTAGTATGGCATTACAAGTACGCTCTCTTCCCAAGTCTTATATAGGGGGTCTTCATTAGGCATCGGGAATGTGTTCCGGAGAAATGTGACCTGTAGTAAAACATCTGCAGCTTATGCATTGCTAAACTTTATGGATTGTTAATAACCTTTGAAATAATTAAAAAAATGTATATACAGTGACCCCTCGTTTAACGAACACCTCGGTTAACGTAATTTCGATTAACGAACTGCCTTCCATAAGGATCTTCAATTCGGTTAACAAAGTTCTTACGAACCGACCTCAACATGTTTTCGCTTGCACTGACCGGGCAACCAGCTTTAGTATCAGTCCGCCAATACATTAATCGGTTCTAGGGCTTAAATTCCTTACTATTTTAGTAAATATCAAGAAGTTTATACTATTCAATAATTTTAAAAGTTTAATATTCAATTTTTTAGTCATTTTAACAATTATTGAACATAATTGAAGGTAAAGTGACTAGTTTAATGCGCGGCATCCAGCCTCTTAACACAGCAAACAGGAGTTAGTCTCTCTCTGTTTTCACTGGAGGTAACATCTTGCTTGAGACTCTTCAACTAAATGCTTTTTTTCTGTGTTTCCAAGCAAATTATTGGTCATTTTGAAATATAATTTACATATTGACAATATATAATGCAGTGCAGTGTTGATTTAAAGAAAATAATCTTGAATTACACCAGACAGCTAAAATTTTATGGGTGAAATGGTGCCATGGGGTGACTTCTCTTCCACCCCAATGCCTTCTCTTCTTCCTTCTCCTCCACCCCCATTCTAAATCCCATCATCATCATCATCATCATCCAGGAGCCTTCTACATACACACCTCAAAGTAAGTGAACTTTTCTACCATTTTTGTTGAATTTAGGAAATTTTCGGTGAGCTGGAACCAATTACCCAAAAACCCATTGAAACAATGGTTTCGGTTAACGAACGACCTTTTGGAACGGATTGAGTTCGTTAACGGAGGGGTCACTGTATTTAAAAGGTCAATTGCGCTGTGCCTGTAAGTTTTAAATCGACTAAATAGATTTTCTTAATATTGATTAATTTTACCATATTTAATCATTAGTTTTCAATTTCCAGAAAAGTCATTAATCACCCCTACAATGCCTGACCTTATGTTTTGGCATATGAGGTCATGACAGATTTTATTCAAATTTCTTAAAAAGATGCTTTTACAGTAATGGAAAACCAACAAAGAATGAAAGGATGTTCAATAATATGCTTATATATTGTTATATGACATTAATACTTTAATTATACTGTACTCTATAGTTTTTTTCGTTTTACATTTAATACTATGCACAAATTATACATACCTGTACTGTATTTTAGTGACGTCATAAAAAATTATACATTGTGATTTATACTACAGTGCCTTAAATGTCCTGGATCTTGTTACATACTCTTGATATTGTTTTGGCTGATACAGTACTCGACCAAAAATGAGATTGCCTTTGGTGTTGTTGATGGAAGAGTCAAAGATTATTCTTTAGTTGATAGAAGTAATTAAGTTGTCTGGTTAAATAATGGATGGGGTGGCTTGGTTCATCCATTCACTCACAGCTGCTGTGAACGAAGGCCGTACTTCTCCAGGAAGGTGTTAAGAAATGCCTCGCGTTCCTGTGGGCATAAGTCCCAGTCATATACAGCCTGCTAAATTCTTATGCAGTTAGATATTTTAAATGGCAATTTATTTATTTATTTTTTGTGAATATAACATTATACAGTACAATATTGTAGTTTATTTTGGGTAAAATAGTCAGGGAGATATGTTGCAAAAAGGTCAGTAGTACACAAGGCAGAAGGAAAACATTTCTCCAGTACATAAGCAAAGTTGAAAAGAGGTTACCTGTACATCAGGCTGGGGGATGCATCTAAGGGGTGGCTCACCTGGATATCGGGAAGAACCGGTCCAAATACCTCCAGTAAGAGAGGTTCAGCATGTACAGCAGTAGCGTAATCATTGAAGCTGACGCGACCGTCATGGTCCATGTCCAATTTCCTGCACACCAAGTCTGTCCCACACAAAATTCCTCTACTGATTCCTATTACTTAAGAAAATTTATGCAAATTATAGGCAGGCTGAAACAGGGTGCTATTTTGTCACACAAACCCACGACGACATGAGTTAACTACTGTCCCGTCAGCGAGGTACGGTGGTAGTGCCTTCGCTTACCATATGAGCCAGGGACAGTAGTGATGTTTGTACAAGTTAATAGTCCTTGTCTTTTACAAGACTTAATAATTTGTACTACTGGTAAATTAGTCCTCAAATGTTATTCATAAGCTTAAAAACAAAATACTGATTCTATGATGGCATTTCCGCTAATATTAAAGTCCTACGTATAGGTTTATGAATTGTTAATAACTAAGAAATCGTAACATATATATGTGAAGATCCAATCCAATTTTTATTTTCGGCAGCGCTTACCAACCATATCCTTGACGACTTCATCAAGCTCCTCGCCAGGTGGCAGGTTGACCACAGCAGACTTGAGCTGGTGGAACATCTCGTCTCGTGACACCATCCCATCACCATTATGGTCGTACACGCTGAAGCAATCTGGGTGGGGTAAATAAAGCTACCTATAGATCTTGTAGAGAGTGTGAACTGTGAAACACAAATTTACAACGAATGTGTGACCTACAACACCAACAAGGATAGTATGAACCACAAAGTAAAAAAGGAACCTCGGAGAAACCGTGTCAGTTCAAATCAACAAGTAATGAAGGTTATAATTATACTTTACACCAGAATACACTTCGGCCAGGTGGTACAGTCTTGCCCAAAAGTTCGTTAACTCTCCCAGTCAGCTATTGCTGCACTGCCTACTTCAGATGTTTGAAACTGTCTCGATACCAACCAGAACATGAAACCGATACGAATGAATCTAAAGGTTCGAAGTAAGACTCAAGTTTATACATCTGAAGCAGGCAGTGTAGCAATAGCTGGCTGGGAGAGTTAACTAACTTGTGGGTGAGACTGTACACTAGCCAGAAGAGGATTTGACAATTTATCTTCCAGTTACTAAGTAGACTATCTCCATTAACCCCTTCAATATGGGGATGCCATTTTTAATATTTTGTTTGACTAATGCCAGACGATTTTATTCTACTCAAGAGGGGTCCCCATACACAAGGGGTTAAAGAAGGACTATCTTGACTTCGAAGTTGGGCCTAAGAAGGATGCAGATGGGCCAGATGAATAGCCACAATAACCTTTAAATAAACAAATCTTTACATCAGCATGCATCTGGGATTCTTGATGTCAAAATTGTCCATGATTTTGCTAATGTCTAATTCCTTTATGTAGTAACTGCATCAGAGCCAGTATCAATCACCTACCCTAACTTCTACCCCCTCCATAATCTGGTGGTACCCTTGTCACAGTAGGTCATAATTCCTATCATCTTACATTTACAGCTTCTCACTTCATGGTTCCTTAGAAATGGTGACAACCTGACACCGATTCACCAGAGGCGGGTGCTAATGTAGAGATAACTTACCTGCACCTGACATAGGTCACCAATCGCTCATTTAAGTGTTATACTATACCACTAGCCAGGAATGTGTACAAATCGGTCTTGGCACGAGTTGACATTTGACCTGATATGATTTAGTCTAAAGTGCACACCCACCACTTATTTTTTCCCTTGTACTGTATAACCATCATCCCTAAACTCCAACTATACCCACTATCTACACCCGCTATCACCTACAGTCAATCTTCTCGTCGAGGGAGCCGCGGAGGAAGACTGACATGCCAACGACAAACTCCTCTGGCCCGACACAACCATCTTGGTCCATGTCAAACACCTGATACATAGCCTCCATCAATCCCTCATCTGTCATACCGAAGATCCCATGCATGATGTCCCGGAACCTGCAAGGGAGGGGAAGAGGAGTGAATGTGCGTGTGAGTCAGGGTAAATGAGTACTGTACTGTACCAATGAAGCAACTTTAAACAAAAAAATCGTTAGTTAAAAATTGAAAATAAATGTGTTCAACTGCTTTCAAACATTCATTGACTACAGAGAAAGAAAAAAATGGAATTGTTTATAGTTTATAGGAAATGTTAAGATAGGCAAAATATAAATGCAAGTCTAATTTTGACCAAATGCGTCTGCAAGTCATTTGTGTCCAGCGGTTATGACTTCATCCAGGCTTGTGAGTGAGTCAATAAAGCTATTTATGAGTGAGAGGCCTGACCTGTTACCGTCCATGCGAGGGGAGGTGCCAGTGAGGTCATGCAGAGCCAGCATGGCGTCCACCTCTTCACATGTGACTGAAAAAGAAATAAGGACAATTTACTGTATTTTCAACGCAATTACATTTCTATAACATACAGTCAACACATCTTAATCTTGTACAGTTTATTCCATTCATGCTTAAAATTGTACACATTGTTCTTACATACACCTGTACACACTGATCTTACACCTGTACAGACTGTTCATACTTACACCTGTACACACTGATCTTACACCTGTACAGACTGTTCATACTTACACCTGTACACACTGTTCTTACATACAACTGTATACACTTCTTACACACACCTGTACACAGTTTTTATGTACGTACACTTGTAGACCAAGCCTTACTTTTCATTACACTTGCTTACACTAATGCCCCCGTGTCTTAATACAACTGTCAGACTATCCTCGCTTAACCCATTGACACAATATGTTAGTCAATATAAAATATCAGTGAAAATGTTTCGTCTCTTTACATATATAAACTTTAACTAATATAAATTTCTAAGTTAACTTCTCCAAACTAATCTAAGCGAAAGTTAATTTAATATTAAATCAATCAAATTATGAATTGGTGTTCCCTCTTGGTCTCATCCATATAGTTCAGCACTGTAGTGTGATCGACCGTTTTGTACATATTTTGATGAGTACAGACAGTAGAATTAAAAACCCAAAATTAAATATGCAGTAATTCTGTTACTCAGTAATCCCTCTTGCAGTATTTGTCTATCCGATCACCACTGTAAACACCACTGGCTGTTTGCCGTCACTTACAATGTGTGTTTTTAGCTATTTTTTCCGCTAGCTTGGAATATCCCTTATAGGTTGTGTTCTTCGACATGGCCACCTACAGTACACTAGTCTCTAGGGTCACTGTGTGGTGTGACAAGACGCTCAAATGTTGTTTACACGCGTTACCATGGGAACGTGGCTATGAGTAACTCCAAGTTGTGATTTGTTGCTGATATTTATGTTAACGTTATAAAGGAATAATGACACCACGATAATGGAATACTCAAAGAATAGACAGAAATAAGATGTGAAGAAGTCTAATTTTTTATATAAATCGTGTGCATGATATAAACACTCGGCCACGTCTCCATACGAATATATAATTATTTATTTGTGTGTATATAAGGGTTTAGCGTAATTTCCTATTCCCTGACAACAGTTCATGACATGCCTCTTTAACCAACTCGGTGGTACTCCATTGCCACACTGACACATGTACATTTTGTGGCCAACATGTGATCGACAAGACGAAATGAGGCACAGGGTTCCGACTCTGGTAGGCACCCTACTAGAGTACACTAGATCGGTGTTTCCTGGCTTTTCTCTTGTTCACATGTTGGCGACAAAATGCACGCTCGTGTGAACGCACCTTAATACACTTCCCGCAATTGGACCGTCTACAACAGCCTCACTAATAGCTGAATGACTTACGAAAAGGAGTTCAACCAACTAGCAACACACGGGATCAAGCATCAACATTAAGGCATATCAAACTATCCACAGCAGAGGCGTTTCAATCCAGTACTCAAAGTAGGAACTTTGTCAAGCACATCAGGCTCAATAACAAAGCAAACGCAAGAATAATCTAAAACTACCTAATCTGAAGTTTGGATTTACCCCTTCATCGTTAAACGGATTTTCAACAAGAGGAATTTACCGTACAACACTGTATATCAGCTTCATAATCTTACCTGATGTTGGTGATGGATCTTATTATATTACACTTTATCCAATGTATGAAAAAATTATTTACGAATGAAAATATGAAATGCATAGCAAATAAATTAGAAATATCCATTTGTTTTTCATCACAGACACCTAGGAACAATACTCGTAAATAATTACCTGAACTTAAAAACGCCACAATATCACAGGGTTTTGCTGTGCTCTAGCTCCCCAACCCCACCGAGCATATGATTATGGCAACACAAAACGATACACCCACTTTTGATCACAATCTTAAGCTATGTCCTGCAAGTGATTCATACTGGTTCACACGCGTTATTTATGACCTACTTCCAATTAGCTTCTACCGGATGTTTCACTTCGGAGCAAGTATGACGTGTCAAAGGTCCTAATTATACACAATGAGACGCCACAAACATTATTACGGTTTCCTGCTTCCGGTGTCATCATATAGAGTAAAACTTGCATCATACAGTAGGTTACTCAACAAAACCAAGGCGACACAATACATGATGATTAACTCTCTCAGTGACTCAGAAAAAAAATGTGAAAATAGCGGAAATTTCACTTTCACACCCCCATAATATAATGACATTATAAATTGACCATTTGTTTGTTGTTAATCAGAACTATTTTAAAAACAAACTAATTAGCTTTCACTGAACCTGTGTACACGTTGACCATTAATAAGGTTTTGTTTCCCAGTAATTATAATGCTCATTCAGTTACTGTATTAATTTGCCGCCCAGCCAGCGGTCAATGACCCAACGTCCGTCTCTGACTCGCGGTCCGTGTACGAGTTTTCTAACAGCAATATGAGTGTATACAATATATGTAAGACGGTTACTGAAATAAGCTCTAGAGTGTGAATAGATCATTTACAGCCTTCTGCTCACGTACGTAGTTAACGACTTATTAAAGCAGCAAGACAATAGATATGGTTTACAGTCGTGCAGATGACGGAAATCAACAATAGACGAGTTGACGGTTCTGGGCAAACAAGAAATACACTGCCACGTTCGTAGTGATACGGTATATACAGTATAATTTGTAATAAAAGTTTAAAGTCCCGCTATAATAGTCGAGGTAACTTTATTTCTCTGGAAACAGGACCGTCATTGCAATGACACTAGTTTCAAACACCGCTGATTTCAAACGTGAAAACAGGAATTACGCAAAACGCATTCCTCATCCACTATCATTTTGGTATATTTATTTAAGTGATTTTTTTTATCAAAGACTAATATATCTTGGGTAATTGTGAACTAACCAACTGATGGAGAACTGCTTCACCGCCAAGCATTGCCTTCACTAGAATTTATTTCCATCATCCTTGAAGTAAAAGAAGAAAACGAAACCGCTTATATTTTTTCATACTTTTATTAAGAATATAAATATCAGAGTATAAATAAATAAATCAACATTATAAATATTATTAGTCGCTTTTACATATCACTTATAAATAAGGAGGGCGTGGTTCAATGTTGTGGTCCGGCCGCCGGATTCTGGCGTCATAACACGAGGCTTCAAGACAGTGTTGAGAATAAACTGGTCTCTTGACTGGGCGGACTGTAATCTCCTCTCCTGGTTGCCGTAAATTTCTGATTGGTAGAGGCGCGAGAAGTACCTGAGAGTAAGTGTGACAGCGGCCTCAGTTAAGTGTCCTGGCCAAGACGAAGGTGATGACACTGGTGCTGACACTGAAGAAGGACATAGTTGAGGCACCGCTGGTTTCCATCACTGGTGGGCGAGCGCTTGGAGTGGTGACCGTTCCGTGGTCTGTGCAGGACGAAGTGTAGGAGATGAGGTAAGTGCCATCTATACATGTTGCCTTTAAAACTAATTCTTTTTCTAATTCTTGTTGGTTCTGAGAGTCGGGGTTGCTAAGGATCCAGTTGAAACCATCACAGACGCAACGGAACTTATTTTCGTCGACAGTGAAAATTACGAGGTTCTGAGACAAGAGGAACCCTTGTTGAGTCACATTCAAGAAAGTATTTTGGGCTAGGGCGATGAAGGTCTGGTAAGATACCCCATCACGTCCCTTCAAGCCTGCCAGGGCGGAGTTCCCCAGATAATTGAAAGTATTACCGACAAAAAGCGCAGCACTGATCTCACACTCGTTGTACAGCTCCATGGAAAATGCCAGAGACTCTACGTTCTCGATGTGATTCCCACCAACAATGAGGAAACCAAGAGTCTCGGAGGTTATAGCGCGGGATTTTAAGGTCTTGATATTGTTCTTAAGGAGTAGGAGGCGCGAGCCGTACTCGGGGAGAGATATGTTACCCGTGGAGGTCAGTTGACGGCCCATGAGGTCCTGGATGACGCTGCCAGAGCCAGAGGGACGCGTGCCGAGGGTTACACAGCGCACCTCCGCTTTGTTTTGCTTTAGCAGTGACACAGCCTCGCTCTCGATGATGCCTATGCTGGTGTGCACGAAGGCCAGGTCCTCGAGCGACTCCAGATTGTTAAAGGCCTCACGTTCGATCGTCTCAACGGTACTGTTAGCAATCTCAATAAGCTTAAGTTTCTGTAGTCCACTAAAAGCATTTGACCTGATTGTAACGATGGACCCACCGAAGAACTTGACCTCCTCAAGCAGTCCCATCCCTCTAAAGGCGTGAGCTGGCAGCATTTCGAATGTCGAATCGATGAAATAAAGTCTAGAGATGCTGGAGTTCCACGTAGTGTTGGGTTGGCTTTGGGAGAAGTAGATGTGGGCGCCGACGACGGTGAAGGTGTCAGGAGACACCAGAGCCTCCAGGTCAGGCCACCTCAGCTCTAGCCCAGAGTTAGAACAAGACGTCTGGTTGATGGTCAGGTGAGCGATGGCCAAGTTCATCTAAGGAGAGAGACGACAGAGTTAGGATCATTTGCCTGAATACGGTAATACGTATACATAACAAATTCCAGAGCTCTCCTTCGACAACTACACAGAACTTCAAGTATTACCTTCATGAATATAAAATTATTCTTATATTGTTATTGTACTTTTATATAATATTTTGCTCTAATAATGAAGTATCGCTCATAATTTAGTATTAAAAAGTAAAAAAAAAATAGCAGTAAGACTACAAATAACAGGAAGCTTGGTACAGTACATCGTTGTACAGGTAGATAAATCATGAATTTGTGGTATTTTACGTCATATCAATGAAACAAACTGGTTTTATTTACGTTTGAGACACGAGCCTTGGTGTTTTAGGGCACACCTTAATACTGGTATGCGTACAAAGCGAACAAACATGGCACAAGTAAACATGTTAATGTATACGTGGGCTTATATTGAAATTAACAAAGCGTAAATTAAGCAAGGGCTCGAGATTCTGTTGATGACCAAATGGTGGAAAAATAAGATAAAACGACAGATTATTAATAGTTACCCGATACTTCTTCACTGAACACAAGCAATAACTGGTAAGGTACAACACTAAACAAAAGGTACTGAAAAATTAGTTGTCATTATTCGGCTTTGCACTCGTGTCATAATTTATTTATTTATTTATTGTTGTTTTAACCATCGTCAATATACTTCATAAAGTGTAGACCAAGCGAATTTGAAGTTTGTCATCATCCTGCACACACACAAACAGTACTGTTTAGGGCGGGTTGTGATAAAAATAGTTTAGGGTTCATACCATTGGTTCAAAGAGAGGTGAGAATATAGTATATGGAAAGGAATTAAAAAACTAGGGAGGCAGTAAGAGGAGAGGTAGACAACGAAAGGGGGGAGGAGAAAGATATCCGGTATACAGTACACACCTGAGTCAGCCGCTGCATACAGTCACAGTGCACGTCCACCTTGTTACTGGCGGCGACGGATCCCTGCACGTCGCAGCTCTTGGTCCTTTGGGCGGAGGTCATAACTGACAGTGCCAGGATCAGTGCCATCACCCGCCACCAAATGCCTGTGTAATCTGCCATCATTGCTTGCCTTCGTTGTACCTGTAAATCCTACGCTAGGTTTCTTGTTGTTCGTCTTGGCGGCAGGAAAACAATATGTTTTGTCACTACTTTGTATGTATACAAATATCTAGAAGTATTCCCAGGACAGGCACTCGACACACTGGCAGGACAAGGGTAATAACGCCTCTTTATATCTTTCCATTGTGATGAGAAGCTTCCGTTGACGTCATACTTTTTGACGTCTTGGAAGGTACTGTCCTTACGGAAATGATCACCCCTCACATGATCACCTACCGATTACTTCTTTACATTACAATTAATTTTATAGATGTAAATAATTTTCCTTTGTGATTTCATTTTATCAATTAGAAGAGCTAATTTTACTGTAGGTAGGACGCCAAGGACGCGTGAAAGCGCGATCCTCGGCGTCACACCCGACTACTGACACTAAACTGACCGGGCTTCCCAGTCTTTGTTTTGTAATTTTTACTTTCACTAATGTTACGCGTGATATTCTCTGAATATTTATTTATTTTACTTGATTGATTTTTTCAATTTAAAGGTTTTGCAAAACATTTAAAAGCGCTGTACAGTAGTTACAAAGTGTGGTCGAGATAACTTAACCTGCTTTTCAGAAATATTGAATTTGTCAACTTGTTGATTACTCGCAGTTTGTAGTTATGAAATAGTTTTACCGTTTTGTCCAGTTGGTGTAGTTAACCCCAGTACAGCCCACACTGTAACCTTAGGATATTATGTTACCTGGAGTGTGTGTGGGTGGGGTCCGTGTTTGGTGTGATAGTCGAAAAATTGTGTCACTAACGGGACCTCCTTACCTTATGAAATATCTTTCCCAAGTCCGTGTGTGTGTGTGTGTAGAGAGGCCTTGGGCTACTATTAATCATCCTCTTCACACACACAATGTTCCTAAGTTGACGTAGGAGGATCCAAAACAAAGCCAAGTCACTCTCTTGTCGACTGCTAATAAGTGAGAAAAAAACATTAGATATGTATTACTTTAATCACAGAGACTTGGTTTGAAATATTTCTACCTTTGTTTTGTTATTATTTAAGTTAAGAAGTAACTTATTCTCAGTTTGTGAAGAGGACAGAGGTAAAGTATATTGGCACTGTAGTGATTTAACGACGCCTGCTTGTTCTTAATCGTCGCATACACAAAAAATATCGAGCAGCCGTAACTACTAAGACAAATATTACCTATTTCTGTACATAAATAACAGTATAGCATAAAATTTTCTCCTTTAGTGAAAAAGTCTTGTATAGAAGTAAGCTTAAAGTTCAATCTAATCGAAATGAATTTAAGTCCCGTCGTGAGTCACAAAATCAAATGCTATCACATGTGTTGACTATAATATACGTAGATTCGGAAAAAAGTTTACGGATATGACAAAAGAAACTTAAGATTTTAAGGGAAAATCCAATCTAAATTTAAATACAAATCTGCGCCTTAAAACTTCTGAGACCTACGTATCGAAATCTAAAGAACACGCTTCCGTAAGAGACTCCCAACATTCATGGTCGGAACGTATAGTTGGAGTCATTTTTAGGCAACAGCTGGTCTTTCCGGCGTCAAGGTGTGGAGCGACGGAATTGACTTGAGTGAAGGAAGAGTGAGTCAAGTGTAACCAGGGAGGAAAGGCCCGGAGTGGCAGGTGGTCGTAGGAGTGGCCGCGAGCGTAAATCGGAAATTATTCTCTGAAATTTAACTATATTGTATCCAAGAAATCGTCATAATGACTCGTAAGGTAAATACACTAAGAATAAATAAGCCAAGTCAAATGATGGAAAAAAAAACTTTAACGTATATTATAAATTAACTGAAAAGCTCTTGTAACTTTACGAGGATCATCACTAAGCAAATGTTTTTTCCTTTCAGTATCACTATGTACTTTGTTAATGAAAGAAGTAAAAATATCAGAATTTATTATTATGCTACATATTTAACAAATCTTTTACAAAAGAAAATTTATACAAAATATATTTACAACTTGTGAATATACCTAATTATAATAAACACGTATTCTGTACATAATATATATACCTATTAAGCTGCATAGCACAGTTTAACGATATACCTCGTTAGACAGTGTTATCAATCAGATCAATGACAGATGCGAGGTTGGGCAGATCTCTGTACATACTTGAACAGTGTATACATATCACTCACTCCTCATTTACACTCACAGTTGTCAAGATCCTCACAGCGTCGCTCCATTGTCGGGAACTGTTTTTCTTCTCCAATTAGATTTTTTTTTACTCCATGTGGCACTAGTGACACACACACACACACACACACACACACACACACACACACACACACACACACACATACACAAACACCGATTAACCATCAGTTCATTTGGGTTCATAGCGTCTGAGCAAAATATTCATTCAAAACTCTTCCGCTCATCATTGAAATTTTCTTTTCCCACACTGAGGAATACACTCGGTTTATTCGTCAGCACAATGTTTATTTCTAAGTAAACTTTTCGTGAGAGTTAAGGACATATTCCTCAGGGCTTTTGACAGATAAAAGTGTTGCTCCTTCAGCCAGTTATATCATGTTCCCCAGTGAGATGTGAGCGATTTTTGGCACTCGCATCCCTGACTGAACCCATCGTCACTCACTGTGGCCTTAGCGCCACTTTCTGTGTCATGTACCCAGCCCTTGTATCACAGAAAGTACCCAGTGTCTCACAGATACCAATTAACGAGAGCCCGGAAGTGGAAACATAAATACTGTACTGGTACTCGATCCAGAAACAAGCGCCTCCATAAACAAAAGACGTGCGTTTGCCTATGTCTTATGTAGATTCCATTACCGTGTCGCCGTGGGCTGGAAGCGTTACGTACTCCTTGTGTTGCTTTTGTTTACGTGGTAAGGATCAGAGTTGAGTGCCAGGATCATTAACATAGGAAAGCTACAGTCCCGGAAGGTATTCAGCAAGAGTTCCTCTTGGTAAGCACGTACTCCTTCCCTATTTCTTGGACAGCATCTTTGAAGCAGTACTTCCACCTGTGTCAAGTAGAAAAAAATAATTTTTATCCAGATGATTAACTGTTTTCGCCAATCGCATACAAGACCCACAAACAGATGATATCATGAATAGTCTAATGTCCATGGAATTTTGGCAACAACTGTACATATCTTTGGAAGTCTTTATAAACGTATCGTCTGGTGTGGTTGACTCACGTAATATCGCGTCCCAGCGGCTCGATCGTGAGAGACTTGAGGTGGACGATGGGCTTCTTAATACGCCATAACATCATGGTGAACATGAGACTGGGGTACTGCATGGCCACGCTCATCGTCTGCAGTTCACCGAGGTCATGAGTCAGCACCACCTGCCGGTGTACTGTCCCTGCCTCGTAATACAGTGACCTGGGGAGAAGAAACTGGGATTAGCTGTGACCTGGGAGAGGGTTCTGGGGTGAAATATGTGACTTGGGGAGAAAAACAACTAGAGTTAACCATGAGCTGAGGTTAGCTTTATGGCCTGATAAGGGGAGAAGGGTTAACTATTGTGATTAGGGTTGTGTGTTCCCTTGGGCCATCTTGATTGAAATAAACAGGAGAAGCCAGGAAAGTAAACCCCTCCCGTGTATGTGTGTGTGTGTGTGTGTGTGTGTGTGTGTGTGTGTGTGTGTGTGTGTGTGTATGCATCACTAAAACTTACTTCTCAGAGAGTTGTATGGACTGTGACTTGTCCTTGTTGCCAGTGAGTATGAGGTGGATGATGGCAAACTCGCCGTGGTGCCTCCTCGCCTCCGTGGTGTTGCGAACCTCCACGCTCACACGGTAGTGGTAACCTGCGGCCAACACAAACATTTACTCATCTACCCGCTTCAGGAGTCACACAGGCAAGACAGTCAATAGTTCGAAGTTGGTGTTTGTATAGAGAGAAGCATTTGTTTTGTGGGACAGACGTTTAACAAGATTCATATATTGACAGGTGTAAATGACGTTAATGAGTTTATAGTTTTTTGTGAGGTGCAGGTACTCTAAGCTGGGATACCTACCACAAAAAGGAGTTCGGTCTTGGGTGTAGAGGAAGAACTTAGAGAGAGGCTGGAGTGGAAGAGGGGCGGCAGCCAGACCCATGGCGGAACAGAGACGGTCACCAGACTCACCACTACACCCCCAACACTCACCCTGGAAATAACAATACCACACCTCCGTTACCACAATACCACACCTCCGCTACCACAATACCACACTTCTGTTACCACAATACCAGCCTGGTTATAGTTAAAGACGTTAGCTACACGTTCACCACAAAAGGGGAAAACTTACGACAGCTCTAACATTTGTCCTTTTAATAGCCACAGAGAATGACTTTGAAAGCTACAACACAATAAATATTTTATAATGTTTGTTTATATCTTGTTCGAAAAGAAGTTAAAGTCTTCCATTACCACAAGATCAAAACAAGAGATATATTTTAGATGGTTAAACTTACATCAATAAAGTCTTCATAGGAGTTACAAGCTACAGCGAGCATCGGGCACGACTGTCTGATGGATTCGGTGAAGAGGGTGATGGCTCGGTGGTGCTGGCAGTTGATTGCACCTACAGTACACCGGGATAAAGCATCATTATTTAGTGTTCTTGTTTCTCCACTAGAGGTTGAAGGCATCTAGCTTTTATTAAACATTTTTATTCTCCTCTGTCAATAGTGTGTAAAATTATAGTTACTTAGTGTACAGTATGAAAGGTCTCTTAACTTTTATTTTCTCTCTATTATGTTAAATGGAGTTAGTTGGGTTACTAAGATAAGGCATCACTATAAGACAGATTTCTTCAGTTTATCAGAATACTGTACAGATCTACATAACCAGGATATAAAGGGCCTCCTACACCTGGTTAGGTTGGTGAGAGAATAGATATATTTATGTTTTACTATGGGACCAAGCACCAGTACATCAGGGCCGTGTACTCACCATTACAGCCGGGCTGGTTACGACCCCCGTTAGGGAAGAAGTCAAGGTGGCCGATAGGTTGAGTCATACCGACACCTGCGGGGGGGGGGTGGGAGTCGTATTAAATCGTATATGTTAACAAATGATAAAAATAAATAGCATAAGCGAACACATTAATACAAATAATAACTTGAATACACATCTGAACTTCAATTAAACACTAAAATGTAAAGGAAAAATGTATAATCATGAGTACACTCGATCATGTATGAACACACCGACGTCAACACTCACTGAGGGGGAAGCCAAGTATGGGGGAATCGTCAGTGTGGATGACATCGACGAAGGCGGCGTCGGTGGGGTCGAGGCGGGTGATGGTGTGGGTGTCGTTGAAATAGGGCTCAGCGGGATCCAGAGCCGTGATCCTGGGTAGGGTTAAGTCGTACATCTCCCTCAGGTAGGTCCCCGTGTGGCCGCTCAGATGAGAACCTAAACTATGTCCAATCAGGTGGAAGGCGGAGACGGGGACATCAGCGAATTTCTGAAGAAAAGGTCATTAAGGTTACGTTAGGTTAAGCCAAGTTAGGCTAAATTAGGTCGTTAGGTTAAGTTATAAAGAACAAGAGGTAAATATGGTTAAGTAATATTCAGGTCGACTCCTATCCTTCCCTTAACACCCCCCCCCCCCCCACCCCCACACACCGATCCTAGGTACGTACAATAAGAGAGTGCATGAGGTAGGCGACCTGGGCCCCCACTAGCCTGATGTTGGCCACGGCTTGGGTGTAGGGAGGTCTCGCCCCCACACTCCAGTCCACCACGATTACGTTCTGGTCACTCTTCCGCAGCAGCTCCCCCGTCAGCGTCTGTGTCGGGAGGAACGAAGGGTTAGTTTAGAGATCATTGAACATTAAATTCCTCGGGTTTGGTGCTACAATGGTCTGTTTCTTCTAGTAATATTTCATTATTATTTTACTCAATAGCGCATAACTGAGGTGAGACTCTGGTTGATGTATTAAATCAAGTCATATCACCTGTGTGTGTGTAGGGCCTTGTTATCTCAATATAAACCCGTTACCTAATGTCTTACCATCTACTTTACCTATATCAGTGGCCACGTCATATATCCTCTAACTGACTGATGTAGGCTTCCCTTATAGTGATACATGTGTGTTATTTTCAGCTGTCCTGGAAAGAGCAAGACCCCCCCCCCCACCATGCAGGACAAGACAAGACCCCCACCATGCAGGATTGTCTTACCTTGATCCAGTTGGTCGTGCCGTATGATAAGTATCCGTGAATTAACACCTTGAAGGGGGCGTTGGGGATGAAGGGCGCGTTCATCACGGTGCTCAGGTCGTTGGGATCGAGAGTCTGCCAAGGACGACATAATAGAGTAAGTATAAGGCTACAATATGAGGGGTATAAGGGGGATGACTCGCACTACATCTCGCTATGTCTATTGTGAAATCCTGTATTAATTTATTTTGTCTCCAGGTGATGCAAATTATAATCACTGACCAATAGCATCACTGTGTGTACAAAATAACTTAGATGATCATTCAGCGCCTGATCCTTTGAACCACAATACTCCTCTATGGTCAGTCGGTTCATGCGTATATTGGTGTCTTTCATCATGAGGGGAAATTGTAGACTATCACAGGTAACTGGTGCAGCACGAAAGACTCACTGCAGGGAAAGTGTCGTTCAGTCTGGTGAAGAGCATGAAGGCGGTGCCTATCTCGTCAGGGGCCATAGGTGCCTTGATGACCGGACGAGAGGTGTTGACCCAGGGCGCCCTCAGGGAGAAACATGTTTTCTGGCCGTAAACCTTCCAGCACTCTGTAACACAACAACATGGGTTTAACTCTTTATTGTTCTGGTAGGGTGCGGCGGGCGAGTGGATACAGCGTTCCCCATCTGTCCTAAAGAACTCTGGTTCACACCCAGTTTGGAATGAGCACCTGACTTAAGGCAAAGAAGTGAATGCAGTCGAGTAAAGTGTATGTAACCACACTGCCCCTAACGGAGGAACTTTTATGAGGGTGAAAGGGTGTCTGGTGAGGGACTTGGAGGGTGGAAGGGTGTCTGGTGAGGGACTTGGAGGGTGGAAGGGTGTCTGGTGAGGGACTTGGAGGGTGGAAGGGTGTCTGGTGAGGGACTTGGAGGGTGGAAGGGTGTCTGATGAGGGACTTGGAGGGTGGAAGGGTGTCTGGTGAGGGACTTTAAGGGTGTCTGGTGAGGGACTTGAAGAAGGATGGAAGAGTGTGACGTGGTAAGGGAGGAGGGGACGTAAAAGTCGGTCATATCTCTGAACTCGTGTCGCGTTAGATTGACATTCACGCGAATCACGATTATTGGACCTGCTGCCGCCACCACTACCACCCTTGGTCGTTCTCCCACACCCTGGACGCCCACGAACATGACCCTAAATAAGCCTCCGGGGGAATAGGACGCTGAACCTCACAATCATGAGTTATCAGAACCTCCCACACCCGGGGCCTGCTGAACCCACCCTCTGATCCACTTCTCATCGAGGCTACAACAACTACAACTACCACCACCGCCACTACTACTACAACTATGTTCATATTGTCCCTTAACTCATCTGAGTATTTAAGTAAAACCCTCTTTCTCATAAAATCATAACTACTCTTATTCTCATGAGGTCTTAAGTAGTCTACCCTTGTTGTCATAGGGTCGTAAGTTAATTCAGATTAGCCCCGCGAGGAGGCTAGTTTATTGGACACCCTCTTGCATCCTGTGCAAGGCCAAGCTCCAAAGTGTTCACAGGATCCAACAGGGAATGTCTTGTATGGTGTAGGAAGACGGGGGGGGGTGAAAGTTAGGCAGCAGAAGGAAGGGTCAGATACTTTTAAGAATGACCAGTCTGGGAGAGTTAACAAGAGGGCGATCAGCTGGGAGGGAGGCAGGCCAAGGTCGTGTGGGTGGAATGAGGGTAGCACTTAGTGAGTGAATAGCTTGAATTAAAGAGAGAGAGAGAGATAAACGTAGTAGTAGTGTCACCAAGAGTATTATAGATAGAGAGTTGGAGAGAATGGGGGAGGGGAGGGAGGGAGATAACAGGGGTGCATGGGGGAGGAGGAGGAGGAGGAGAGAGAAAGATAAATAGAAAAACAGGAGAGAACATAATTTATAGTATGAAAGAGATGGGAGACGATAACTGGGGTTAAATATAATCACAATGAGTCATAATGATTAGTGTTATAATATTAATGAAGCAACAATAATAATAATAATATGAATAAAACGTGGTGTGTGGTTACTGCGATAGGTAGTGACGTAAGGAGTGTGAGGGAGGGAGGGGGGGACGCGAAAGAGACCGGTGGTTGCTAAGGCATAGGTCAGCAACAAGACCTCACACCACCACAGAGAGAAACAGCTGACGTACCCTACCGTGGCAGTCTCTACATCCGGTACAATGTGGTGCCACTCATCCACCCACCGTTACCCACCTTCGCTATCCCTCACTGATACCCACCTACGCCACCCCTCACTGATACCCACCTACGCCTCCCCTCACTGATACCCACCTACGCCACCCCTCACTGATACCCACAAACTTTATGAATTGTATTTAATTTATTTAATAATTACTATTTGTTTATCTTGATGAATCAGAACACGACTGCCTTATTAATCAAGCAAAACTCCTGACTAAAAAGATATAACTTGGCGCAATAAATGGTGTACTTGTATATAAATAATTAATATCTGGTGTATAAACAAAAATAACTGTATACTAAGCTCCAATGACAGTGTCTGCGAATACCCCAATTAAAAAAATAGAAAACTGCAAATTGATTTTTTTTGAGGGCGGGGGGGGTGTTATGTCTTATAAATACGAACAAACTAACTGAAATAATTATGTTCTTTCAAGATTATGACGCCCCTAAACATCGCTGGGTCACTACTTACGTTCCTCCAAGGTGGTGTTGAAGGTGTCTTGAGTAGTGAGAGGGTCTGGCGGTGGGTGTCCCAGGTCCAGGAGTAAATTAAAGTTAAGGAGATGGAACAAGACGGTGCTTTTTGCTGCTCCTATAGCCGGCATCTTGGTTATAGGCCGGCCTGGGGCTCACCTGTGTAGAGTTAAGATGAATCATGTTTACGTTCTGTTAATTAAGGTATTCATGTTGTTTATATTATATGCTAAGGAGAGATTTTCCTTATTCTGTTGGTAGGAAGACTTACCTTTTGCATAGCTGGTATGACTTTATTATTTTTCTATATAATTATGCAATATTTTACTAGTTTCTATCTATGGTAGGCCTACTCTTAATGAGAAACATGCTCAGGAACCAACCGACCCAATGCTCTCACGAGGCTACTGAGCTACTGGCAACACACGTCAACAAATTTGTAAATATAGGATGAAAACTTATTAACCTCATCCTTTAGAACCTTGTCTAAGCTTCTCTGGTGTGAACTAAGTACAGTTGGGTAAGGTGAAGAGGCCGTATTAGTGGTTTAATGTTACTGGTTTAATGTGTGTGTCGCAACGGGCCCAAAAGGTATCAAGTGCTTGGTCAGCAGCAGCAGACACATCATTCAGTCAGAAGGTGTTCAAAGTTTCATAACCAGGCAGCCGTAATAACTGTTCTCAGCTGTTTTATAACGACGGATCTGCTGGGGTTTGTGCTCTTGGTGAAGTGTGTGTGTGTGTGTGTGTGTGTGTGTGTGTGTGTGTGTGTGTGTGTGTGTGTGTGTGTGTGTGTGTGTGTGTGTGTGTGTGTGTGTGTGTGTGTGTGAGTGTGTGTGTGTGTGTGTGTGTGTGTGTGTGTGTGTGTGTGTGTGTGTGTGTGTGTGTGTGTGTGTGTGTGAGTGTGTGTGTGTGTGAGAGAGAGAGAGTTTGCAAGAACATATCACAAAACAGGCTCTAAAAGAAACACATATTGCAACATAAACACAAATATTCACCTTGGCTCAAACACATGAACATTATCAAAGCCAAATTAGTCGATCGAACTCCGACAAGCCGTATAAAAAAGTACGTTTGATTTTCACAACCGCGCAGTAATACCACATAACAGTGTGAATAAACAAGTAGAGCAGCAGCATCAAAGATTACAGATGTAGATTTTTTTCATACTTAATAATATACAGCCTCACGTGTATGTACTTATCAGAGTGAGAGAACTGACTATCCATGCATATTTCTGGACGACGCTGCAGCTGGTAATACTTGCTTATAATTTACTGTGATTTGATTTGGTTCATCCAGCCAGCTTGCCTGAGTCTTTAAGTGGTAGATATCAGGTTTTATTACTCGGCTGATGGAATAATCGGCTTTAGGATATGATTGTAAATTTTAACCTTTATGGTGCGATTTGCTTGGGTAGTTTCCCAATCTTGTTCGTGGCGATATAGACAGATCGGCAAACGTATTGAACCATGTGGATACTCGCATACAAATCTACACACACCCACAGAAGCCGGTCTTAGGTCTTTTTCAACACTTAACTAAACCGAACATATATTTACCGAGTTTAAGTTTCGTCCTCGGTAAAATATGCTTTTCCAGTACATTGCTCCTTATAATAAAACAAATACTACTTTATTTTGACTTTACCTAATGTTTGAAGTACGGGCGGCTGGATATAATGTTAGAGCCAATGTAACTAAGTCTACTACACTATAAGTTTGTTTTAAGTTGTAACGTAACGTAACCTAACTTAACCTAACCTATATTTTTTAGAGTTCTTTCAGTCAGAAGCAGTAATATTGATTCTGATAAAGGTAGAATAGAAATAATATATAAATAACAGAAGGCTGATATAATTCACACTTACCAGTACCAACTTTCACGATGTTTACACAAAGTTAGATGAGTGAGTACAAAAATAATTATAACATTAAATTTTCTTTAAATTAGGTAATAGAGAATAAGTGACAAGAAATGGAAGATTATCATACCTGCAGTAATTAGTTGATGTGGTTGTGTTGGTCAGATTCTTCGACGCCTAGTAATTTGGTTCTTGCTATAGTAAAGTATTTCAGCTGATTTGCTTTATAAATAGAAGAGGCAGGTTAATTAATTCTTTTACGATAGTTATCTATTTGTCGTATTAAGAACTACAGTACGTGTGAGAATATTTGGTAAAGAAATGCGTATTGCAGTTGATTTTCAGAATATTATTTAATACGCGTTAATACGAATACAGTAGGCCTACAGTGTTTTGAAAAAGATCTCTGGCACGAGTTCTCTGACGCAGAATAATTGTAATATTTTTCACAGTTGACGGTAAAAAAAAAACTCTTGTTTATCCCTGATGCTCGGCGAGATCTTAGAGGAGTGACTGACGCCAAGCGGTTCCCGGGTCTTATAGGACGCCCGCTGCAGTTGCCAGGTTTCTCCGTTTGTCAAGCCGTATATGTGTCCCTTCCCTACATACCTCACTATTGCGTACTGGTCTTAAGGAGATACGTTTACCGATATTCGTGGAGTAATCTCTGGTGCATCTTCCAGGGGAAAAGCAACAAGAAAACAACTTTTAGGTGATTGATGTCTAATAATTTGTGAGTTATGGTCGACGAACGCTAGACTAGGAATTTGATTCTTGACCCTTGGTTTTTGGACGTTCTTCTGTTGATTTCTGTTTATCAGCTGTTACGTATTGACAACATCGGCAGCTGTATCTGTTTACGTGGAGATAATTCAACCGGGAGTTATGTGTGCTATATATCGGTGTCTCGGCCAGGTTTTTGAGACAACATTCACTTAACTTAACCTAACCCCAGCAGGATTTTGTATTGTGTTTGTGTTTCTGTGTGTGTGTGTGTTTCTGTGTGTGTGTTTCTGTGTGTGTGTTTCTGTGTGTGTGTGTGTGTGTGTGTGTGTGTGTGTGTGTGTGTGTTTCTGTATATGTGTGCATCTTTCAGTTTTGTGACTGTCTTGGTCATTATTTCCTTCCCTCCCAATACAATAATAGTCTATGGATGGATTACCATAGTGTAAAACCTCAATATCTATCACTATCCTCATGCTGTCAGAATGTGTAATGGGGGAGAGAGAACATGTATCATTCATTTATTATTTCCTTCTACAAAGATATGTTCTGATATGTTAATTCTCTTCCATGAAAACCTAAAATATCTTATCGTCTTACTAACACCCAACAGTCAGCATTACCTCCTCCCCTCTCTTACTGTACTCATCAGGTCACGTTGGTCAGCCTGTTGTGTCTTTTATCAACGTACAACCCTTCATCCCCCTCTCTCTCTCTCTCTCCCTCCCCCTTCTATAGATAGGCGTGTCTTGGAGTGTTTATCTGTCTGCTGGGCGTCTAACATCTGTCTCTCCTACTGTCAATTCTCCCTCCCTCGTCTCCTTCTCTCCCCCCTCCCCTCCCAGCCAGTCGACCTTCTTATATTTTTCTGTTTGTATCTTCGTTTGTCTCTTTGTTTTAATTATTCCTCTTCGCCTTTCTTGTGCTTCCC